TAAGGCAGAGGCTTACGCCCTGTCAATAGAGCGTCATCGACTTCCTCGAGGGTCTTGCGCAGATATGCACGATACACAAATGCAGCACAACCGTGACCGACAGGAGCCTCACTGCTCAAATTGCGGACAACGCCACGGATAGAGTCGGACCAGCGATTGAGCTTGACGCTGTGAGTTGTAGTGTGTAAGCTCTTGAGCCTACACAATTTGCGCTTTGGTCGGCCACTCTGAGCAGCTGCCTGAAACGCCAACTCGCCTTGGTCTGGGAGAATATCAGCAGGCGCATCACTCTCTTCTTCCTCAAACTCGAACTCCTCTTCTTCCCCCAGACCCTGACCGTCATCCATAACATCCAAGACAAGGTTCTCTGCGTCGTCTGCAGCACTTGAGGCATCAGCCTCCTCATCCGAATCGCAGGAATCTTTTTCTTCTTTTTCTTCTAACCACTCCTTGACGACATCGTCGTTCCTCTGAGCATCCAACATCTTGAGATACTCATACCCGAAGGTAACCCCCTCAGTATTCAGAGTGATGTCGTTAGCGGTGCCTTGGTCAAGCTGTGGCTGTGTAGCCTGATACTCACTGGCCGATAGCGGGATGGGTATAGTTCCCAGCTGGCTGCCTGGGTCAAGCTGTGCGAACAAGCGTCGACTCGATAAGACTGCTCTCCAAAGCAGCTTGCTATCATAGACAGGCCCCGCAGCTCTGAGTTTTTTATGGGGCATACGTCCTCGAAAAAGAAAACTGGAGAAACGATAGACGAACCAAAACAACCAAATTCTACGCAACCCCCTAGATTTTCAGGTGCTACAAGCGTCTTTGATGGCAAGACGCCCCTCAAGTCTGCTCGTGAAGCAAATTATCAGAAGCTTCGATCCCGAGCAATGTTTAGTCACAGAAGAAGTATGTTGTTACAATTCCACAGGACCGGTTGGCCACCACAACCTATGACAATCATGCGATGATTGTATGCACCGCTACGCGTCGGCCAACCGTTGCCCCTGACCTCGTCAGAGAATGGGGCTTTCGCGTAGCTGCGATTTGGAGTGCACCGCTGATGACTCGGCGTCTAAACCGACGTTACGGAGACAACAGGCACGGGAGATCGATCCAGGGAGGACGCGAGGCTTATTCCAATGAGCCTCATTCGAGATCTCTCAAGAGAGTGAGAAAGCGAGTTTCTACGAGAACCTATGCCGCTAACCTTTCACGACCCCGGAACCACCAAGTTTGTCATTGATGAAAGCACTGAGAATATTTGTGAACTACTTCCTGAAGCGGAGAGTCAAGTCAAGTGTTCCAAGCCAGGAGCGAGGGTGTGTCTTCCTCCGAATCTACCGATCACGCTTCCAAGGTCAGCGACGTTCTTTGGCTCGGATCGAAGAATAGGACCATGATCTCATTTTTTATTGTGGGATTGACCTCAGAGCTCTACTCCACACATGCATACAAACCAACACAAACACGAGCGACACGCAGCTCTACATGAACGACAAAAAATCTATCGTCGTGTTTGGATTCAATCCATACTGCGTCGTTTTGTTTCAAAGGACTCGCGCTGAATGGGCTCGATCAACTGTCACGTTACGTGGCAGTCGAGCTGTCGTGAGTCACGTATGACCTAGAACAGAGCAATCATGTTCCAGCAGGTCTTCAGTAGAAATAGTGTAGTTGGACTGAATCGATAAAAAAACCAATCGGCTTCGTCGGCGGAAAAAGGCAGCCTAGCCTGGAATCAAGTGAAATAGATGCATCTTCGTGGCCTGCAGTACAGGCTCCTCATGCCCTCATCCACTTTGCACTCATACCCGGCTTTGGAGAGCCAAGGCCTTGCACGACACCGCTGTAGTACACTGTTATGTTGTGTCTTTATGGATGTTCGTTTGTATTATTATTCCTGGTTATTCAGCCACCCTTGTTCTACGCTGCTCGAGAGAATCGGGTGGAAATGTGCAAAATGTTGATAGAAGAACTGGGAGTCTATGCAGCCCAGCGTGATGCAAAAGGAAAAGACGCAAAGTATTTTGTGAAGGATAATGATATGCTGTAAGATGGGGGAGTTGTTAAGCGCTTGTTTAACAAGCAGACGGTCTAGGGATCAATTCCTGGTGGAAAAATAATATTAAACTTTCGTTATTGCTTCAGCTGGACAACTCTGGAGCTCGTCCGGGAGACTTATCCGAATTTTGGAATAGACACTTCATTTAAGACCGACACTTGAATGCGATTTTATGAGGTTGAATGATACCGTCAACTTTAATCAGTGCTCTGTACTAACTCACACTCAACGTTATCTTCCTTAGCCGCGCATATTTAGCCTCGATGGCCGACAAGGCGATAACCAGCAGTATAGCAGAGTCAGGGGCCCCTCCGCGAAAAAAGTATCGGTTGGTGTACAAGGGAGGAGAGGTAGTTAATGAGCGAAAGGTATCGGGTTCGAACCCTTTGGATGGTATTTTTAGGGAAGTAATAGCGGCATATCTGTGACACCAGAGCAGATGGAACAGTTCGAGAATAAGTATCCTCATATTGCTGTATGGAAGAAGGATGTAAGTCGTGGGTTCGAACCCGGGTGAAGGCATTTCCATGTTTAATCTGACGAACCTGCGACATTTGCTCTATTATTGGACGTATTTTCTTATACTGTTATACTTGTATGATAGCGATTCAGCCACTCCTGTGTAACTTATCATAATCCAGTAGGTCATACAGGAACACCAAATGTTCCCTGAAGGAATCCATTTCACATTCAGTTTCACTATAGGAATGCATCTTACATTTCATCAATAAGAAACCCGAAGTTTTCACCCTCAACGCGGAGCACATCGCTGTGAAACTGTCTCACTGAGACAAGATGGAGACTTATAGCCTCACCCCTCCGATCGATTCTTGCCTACTGTAAGAGGTGATAAGATTCTAATGTTGAATTTAAAGAACTCCATACATCTCGGTCATCAACTGCCTGAGAAAGGAAGGATGTTTCAAAGCAGCGCAATGATTTTGGGAACACGTGAAAGATTTTTACTATGGCTCAGGCGTTGTTGAATTTTCGATTGAAAGTTTTTCCCGAAGGGAAGCATGCGCATCACCTGGACAACTCCATATTGCTCTTTCACTATTCTATAACATATTTGCAGGATAACGGACATGGGTTCGAATCCCAAGACGGTTTATTTAGGCACCTATATCGACACCACCGACTCGGGCGAGCATGACGAAGGTGAATGGTCGATTGCAATCGACTGCGCCGAATTCACCGCCGCCGCAGGCGCGATCAAGTCGAGGAGGTGCTAAAAAGTGGCAGCAGTTGGCGAAGCAAGTTGTTAGGGAAATTCATAAGTGAGTTGTCGCAATACAGCAGCCGCATTCACTCTGAGATCAATCGGTTTTAGTTTCGACGACTCTCGTATATTCTTGAAGCCAGTCGATCCTGTGAAGGATGAATGCCCTGACTACTTCACAGTTGTTACCCATCCTATGGACTTCGGCACAGTAAGTTTGGAAAACCTATGCAAAGATTTTATGGAAAGATTTATATCACATCATTCTCCAGTGAGTTATATTGGACTTCTTACATTTCTTGATGTTCCTACTCAAAGGTTATAGATTCTTTTAATCATCTTGGGCATTACTATGTCGAAGCGTGTCATTGTTGGGTAATCGTTGTCGCCTTTTTGTTATCTATGCATCACTGTAAGTGCTATCAAGCACAGTATTACTTCTAATGATATTAGAAGTAGAGGATTTGGGAATCAAATTTCACGTTGTAACATTTCGCATTAACACGCTTATTACACCCAAATTGGGTTTGCGGGCTCAGACGCTCCCGGAAGAATTTAGCGCTCGCATCTCTCGCTTCTCCTGCTGCGAGTTTATGTTGGGTGAAGGTAGCAAAGACTGACATGAAAGGCTCCCAGGTGGAATGCAGTTGTACCTTGGAAAACTCTCGCATCGATTCCGCATTAGCAACATTTTTTGATTCGACCGGATGATTCCCCAGTCATTGTTGTTAATGTGACGCTACAATGACCTCTGTTAGCACTATAAGGGCTATTTAAAGGGCTACTTCATTCAGATACGAAAGAAGCTCCATAAAGGAGAATATCAAGACGCGTTGTCGTTCTATGAGGACTGTGATTTGGTATTTACGAACTGTGCTTTATACAACTCATCGGAGTCATTTGTTATGAAACAATGCAGGAAAATAATGGTAAGCAAAGATATCGGGTCATTGTTGTGGTATAGAAGATAGAATAAAGATAGAGATAATGGCATTGGATAACGGCAACCAGGATTGAATTCAAGCGTTAGTAGATTGGATTAGCATTTTTATGCATTTCCGGTCTTACCGTGTAATCGCCAAATCTGTTCTCAGTCACGGTTCAACGACTTGCTTGTTCAATTTGAGTTGGTCGGTCACATAGAAGCCGCCCGAGCAGAAAGGAGAAATCAGAAAGATGAAGAAGAGAATAATGACTTGGGCAATTCGGTGAGTGATATGCTTTGAAAGATTGGTGTAATTGAAAGATATTTTTCAGGTTAATCCAGTGGCAGCAGAACCCAGTGCGGGAACTGTGGCCTGATCGTGAAGTCCGCGTTAATGAAATAATATTTGCTGTAAACCCGTGATCTTTCCATAGGTTTCATTTTGCTCTCAATTCAGGTTATGGCGCATCGAACATATCGAACATCGTCCCTGAGAATCCGTAGTGATTTAGCAAGATAATAATAATGATCGACAATATGGCAATATTGTTGATGTTGTTGTTGCTTCCCCTAAAACGTCCATCCTTTTATAGTTGTAACATTCCCTGCATTGACGACAATAGAAATGAGATGTTGAGTTAGTCTTAAAGTAGTGTGGAATTTTTTTACTCGTCATTCAAGATTCCAGTTGCCGTTATCTTTTTGCGAACCAATTTCAGAACTTACGTACAACACATTCCATTCACATGATGTGAATGCTCAATCACGCCGAATGAAAGTTTATTGCGAAGTAATGCACCGTCCGGGAATTGAACCCGGACCATCTGCTTGGAAGGCAGATATCCTAACCATTAGACCAACGGTGCTGCTAAAAACCGAGACTCTGTCTCTGCATTACAGAACGCTCCGCGCATTCCCTCACGATTATCATGTTCATTCTTTTTCGCTATTTTGTCGTTGATTGCCACCCGTTAGCCCACAGCAAGATGATCCATCAGATGCGTAGAAATGCTTGTTCAACTCGTATTTAGTACTCTTCTACTGTCTTTCTACGACGTTTTTCTCCCCCGGAAGGCGGAGCGAAGCATTCTACGTTTCGCATTTTTGTCGACGTCGTCATCTCGCGTCACTCCGCATTCAAAGCTACCATCAATAGCCGATAAGGAATTTTCCTTTGGCTTTTCACTACGCAATTTTGCAGAAGGGACATCGTCCCACTGCATTGTCGCCGATTTTGCTCAACGTCGCCCCTCAGCTGAGCTGCCTAGGTCTCTTAGTTATCTTAGAGGATGTGGGTTCAAACCTTGGTGGGGATGTTTATGGTTATGGGATATCAGCCTATCGATTTGATACGCATCGGGCATTCTCGAAATGTCGTTAAAACTCTACTCATAACTAAACGTCATGGATTCCCTTTGGTTTTTGATGTTTCCAACTATGTTCAATAATACAGCGTAGTTCAAAAAATCACATTTTCCGTGAATATCGTTTTTGAGAGTTGCAGATATATCATTCGGTAGTGTACTGATTCGACATTTGAGCTACATGAGTATTTAATTATAATACATTTGCATAATATCGTATTTCTTAAGTATACATTCCATATTCCCTATAGTGCATTCCTTTTGCTACCTTCTCCGTGATGGACCAGCAAGACTTGGTCAATGAAACTACAGTTGCGAAAATCTGAATCTCGTCGGTAAGAGGTCTCCGGAATATCTTGGAATCTATTCCAACCAAATATAATAGTATTGATAAGTGTTATCTTCATAATATTCGATATTGCTCACCGAGACGTGTATGTCGTGGTCTATTTATATGCAAAGTTAACATTATTTTAGCTCCGCCGTTGTTGTTCTTTCTCACACTCTTGTGACCCCTTTGAAATGGATTACGGCGTCACTTCAGAGGACGTCGATTATGAGGACACTACTGCGGGGGCGACAGGGGTATCAACTGCCGGACAACCACAACAACAACAACCCCCGAGCGGAAATTTTCAACTGCCTCCAGACGATATGCTTGATGAAGATGATGAGGATACACAGCATTCATCATCTGATGTGGAGGAGGAAAATTCGGTAAAATCGGAGAATGGAGAAGTTGTGGAGACGGCTGAGGTTGAGGTAGAGGAGAGCCGACCTAATGTAGAGAATAATGAACGAAGTGGGACTAAAAGGAGGCGAGCAAGTGGGGGAGATGATCCACAAGAGAGGTCTCGGAGATGGTCTGGAGCAAATAGAGCTGGAAGGGAATCGCAAGCACGAGAATATCTCCCTTGTAGGTGTTTGGTACCGGACGATATTGCCGGTAATAAGATTTGAGGAGGAGGAGGAGAAATCGGGTATATTAAAATAATTATTAATCAGGTCATATAATAGGAGTTCGTGGAACTGGTCTTCATAGACTTCAGAAATTGAGCGGTGCGAATGTTCATGTGTCGAAGCCAAGTGAGACGCCAAAGTCATTAGTTGACCGGGTTGTCACATTCATTGGTAATAGGGTAACAACAGCAGCAGTAGTAGTAGTGGGATGGTATTGATAGATCATGGTAGCAAAGGTAGCCATTTCATCGTGTCCAATAGGGGGTTCAGATTTAGAGTCAGTTCTATATAATGTTATGGGCGCCTTTTATCAATTTTATGGAATACATAGCGATAGAGTGATGACGTTGTCCTCCTTCTCGTCCTTCCTTCATCAATGGTTTGAAGGCAATCAACGATACGAGCTTTCCCGGAACATGACGGTGATGGTGACACATCAGTTTATTACACTGCCTGGTACGCATCATCTGGATGAGTCCGAATCTGAGCCTCCTTGGAAATTAACATTATTACGCATACTTTTGAAGTTACTGAATTTGTTCATCTATCCGGAAGTTAGACTGCGGAGTACTGCTGCGGGACATTCAGGATCGATAATGTATTATTTAGCTTTATAATAATTGCTAAATTATATTATTTCATATTCACCTTCACACTTGAGCCTCTCGACGACCGTAACAATTGTATTCCAGGTAATCCTCAACAAGTGGATACCGCTGTAACGAAGTTGCTGGAAATGCTAAGGCGAGACAAACCGCAAAGTCGAGGAATATTCGTACTGCTGATACCAGAGGTACGATGATGGGTTTAGCGGAGGTCGCGGGTTCGAACCCTGTTCGCGGCCGCATACACCAAGAGTGGTATCTTCGCATTTATCACGTTTTTAATAGAGAGGCGGTAGAATGACTACTTGGTCGATAGTCTATCTACGGTAGATTAGTTGGCTAACTTACATTATTATTGGAATATCATTTGGGTGTATTATACATGACATTAAGATATATAAAGGTATTGGTAGGAACTTATATGTAGCTTATTTTGTTTCACAACCCATTGTGTGGCCCCGCCTTTTTCTAATATTATTCCTGCTGTGATTCACTACTTCTTACTATTCCTATAGGGCTTATTATTATCCTCGTACGATAGGTAATATGCAGCATCTAGGAGAAAGCGCTTATTGGATTCCTTTGGTCTGGCCTGCTCATCTGATGTTCCTCGATAGATTCATCCTCCCTAATTTTGTATTCGTGGAATCGTGTCGTTGTATGCCCCCATGAAGGGAATGATATATTTCTAGGTTCACATACTCTATACCGTATTTTTCACTAATTAGGTAACTTCATTTGCCTTCCTCGATAGTAGAGGTCAAAGATTGAGGGCGCTGGAGGGAGAGTACCACTGCGAGGTTACGGTAATAATTACTTAAGGCGGGTTCGATTCCGGGGGGAGACATCTATATTGGAATGTTGGTGCATTTCACCTCCATTATGCTTCTATGGGAAAATGTGAATAAATTCCCTCTCTTTGAGGATTCGACTCCAAAGTGGCTGACGATTGCCTGTTTTGTTGGAATTAAATTGTTGTATAAAATTGTTGTAAATTTTTAATATGAGTTTGAGAAAAAACTGCATCTCGAGTTCATCTTCAAAGTACTGTAAGTAGAGGTCGAGGTGGGATGCCAGTAGTAGTAAAGAATAGTGATCGACGACGACAACGACGTCATACCTGCCAATATATGATAAATGTTGTTGTTTGTCGTTGTGAAGCTTATTTGTATATATAACAATAGTATTATTAATGTAATACTGTGTTGTATTGTAGCAGACTAGTGAACACTGTGTCTTTGGCGGTGTTGTTATCATTAACGAAGACGCCCAGAGATGGAAGTGTCCGATACTATATAAATTATGTCGTCAGATTGCAAAGGCGCCAATCGAGGGTATGCGAGTAAGGCCTGTCATTATTAAAGGATCGGATGAAGCAACGGCGGCAGTAATCAGTAAGCTGCAGGCAACGGTAATAAGGGGGGAGGAAAGAGGGCTTATAATCATTGGATTGGGCTGGATAATATAACGGCTTTGGAATTAGTTAGCAAGCAGGGTGTTGCATAAATGTGATATTATGGTGGCACAGATGGGTGTTATACGAATTGAAGTGCAGTCCTATTGACATTGAAAAATATGGACAACAAGCTCGGCAACATTGATCAGAAAGGTGGTGTGTTTTGGATGAAAATATGCATTAATATGATTTTAGAATGCAAATATATGGTGTCTTGGGGAGCGGCAAGCTTGAATTCGACGACCTCTTTTGGGAGGAGGGGAAATTCTTTTTTCCGGACTGTTTGTAGAGATGCCTCGGACCTTTCGGTCAATTCTGGGGAAAAATTATGGCAAAGAAGCTAGAGTGGATTTTAAGTGGGAAAAAATAGGGAAGTTTCGGGCGGGGGATAATGATGCGGTTAGTTGACAGTTTTGGGGAAGGGAGAAATGCTCGTCTGCTTTGAAAGCCGCGACGAGATTTAACGACTGTTGAGGGAATTTTTGATTGTTTTGGTTACTGTGATGCGCCCCCAAATGTGTGGCGTATAAAAATTATATAAAATAATAAAATTGTGTGTGTTACTATGTGCAAGAAGGTGATGGTATCGATTTAGGTGGAGAGTATAGTTCGATCGAAGCACATTCCTCTGGAGGAAGCAAGTGCACTTATGGCAGGTGAATTAAATCGATGATGATGGTGCGATCCAAAATGTGTGTTATTAGATCGAGGAAATGATAGAGGCTCGCAGCCTCCTCCTCCACCTCCACCACCACCACCATCGGTGCCGCCAGTTGATACTAGTGAAGTGGTTGTGCCGTGGGTCCCAGGATTGGAGAAGATACCAAGGGATCAGGTAAGGAGGGGCTAAGAGGGGTATACGAGAGTTATACAATATAGAGTTATACAATATAGAGTTATACAATATAGAGTTATACAATATAGAGTTATACAGTATAGAGTTATACAGTATAGAGTTATACAATATAGAGTTATACTGTACCACTGTCGGAGGATTTTACGTTATGTGAATTCGCTAAGGGAGATGAGGTCATTTGGGAAAAGCTAGTTTTGTAGGACTTTTGATTTTATTAATATTTATTTTTTGTTTGTATTCAACCGTGTGATAGAAGTATCTGATGATAATATGACATTATATAATAATAATGATACTTCTGGTACTATAACTATCTAATAATGTAACTTGTAAGGTTCAGTGGGGAAGTTTACAGTATGTTTATTAAGAAATGGATGTAGTAGGAATCTCTAAAAACTGTATTAATAAATATTCCTCTCTCTCGCACGAAATTGTCGACTCTGTCTTTTGCGGGGTTTCTATTCAAAAATTTGGGACAATAAATTAGAAGGAGATATTTCGCTTTTACTTGCTGTCTTTAGGACTCTGGATTCCCCCTCATGATGGTCATTGATCGACGTTATTCATCATATATTATTGGTAAGAGCGGTAAGTGTGTGACAGAGATAGAGCACTGTAGTGGAGC